CCTCTCTTTCCCCTCTGTTTTATGCATATAGAAACCAAGGCACAGAGAAATTAAGGAATTTCCAAGGATTATGTAGCCATAAATTGGTGGACCTGGGATTTGAATTCAAGCAGTTTGGCTGCAGAATTCGTGCCTTTAATCCTGTTTCAGCGTACTGCTTCTAATCTGGAATAACTTTTAGTTATTTGGCTTGAGCAATTGATTAGAAGGTAGTCTTGTATACTGAGTTAGGAAAGACTGACAAAAAGCAAGTTTAGGGGGAAGTAAGCTCAGTTTTGACCATGTAAGTTTGAGATGTATATGAGTATCCCATATGGAGGTGTTGAGCAGTCTGGGGTTTTAGAGAGAGGTCAGGACAGGAGATACAGCTTGGAAAGGACTAAAGCCTTCAGACTGGATAGGGTCACCTAGGGAAATCGTGAAGAGAAGAGAAAGAAACGCAAGATTGAGCTCAGAGGCATTCACCATTTAAAGGGAGGATGAGCCAGCACAAATAATTAAGAGGCCAGTGACAATGCCCCAGAAGCTAAGAGAAGAAAATGTTTCAAGAAAGAAGGGGTCAACTGTGTCAAATCTGCTGAGGCTTTAATTAAGATGAAACTTGGTTATTGGTTTTGACAGTGTAGAGGTCATTTGATTATTCTTGCAAGGGCTACAAATAGCATTGGAAGGGAGGTTAGGGAGGGGACAGAAGCCTAATTGAATTGAATTGAACTGGGAAGAGGTAAAGAAGTGGAAATAATGACTATAGACAGTTCTTTCAAGAAGTTTTGTAAAAAGGAGCAGAGAATGAGACAGTAGATTTTGTACTTTGTGCCTGCCTCCAATGATCATATTAGTTCAGCTTGAGTTTTTCTATTTGTTCATATGAGCATATGCACTGTTGTCTCTTTCCCAAACGATAGCTCATACCATTCTGTTGAATCTTTTAGGCTGTTGGATTTTGTTACTGTACCATCAGGTGAACTTCGTCACGTGGAAGGCACCATTATTCTACACATTGTGTTTGCCATCAAGTTGGACTGTGAACTAGGGAGAGAACTACTGAAACTCTTAAAGGTAGCCCCACACTCTTAAGGAGATCCAGGATCTTTTTATGAAACAGGGATGTTTGAACTCAAGCCTCTTTTATGCCGGTTAATGACAGGAAACAAATACATAGAAATATTGTAGAACTACCCTGGGTCTAGAGGATCTCTTTTTTTTTACTTTGAAAGTGGAAGATATATGATATCACTACATTCTTAAGCAAGTTCTGTTTTAAAACCATACCTTAAGTGTTTTAGTGTTTAAAAAGAAAAAAAAAGGTGAAGACTGTTGAGCAGGAAACTCAAAATTTAACCTTAACTCCATTATTCTGTGAGCTTCAGTCTTGACCTCTGTTTCTGTATTTGTGAATTGGGGAAATTGCCTATTTCTAGTAATATATTGTGGGGTTTTGTGAAGCTAAGTCATTCATCATTAAATATTTGTGAAGTAGTAAGATAAAAATTAGAAATGTTTTGAACTCTTTTTAAGTATTTTGCTACATTTACCTTATGTCACTTTCTCACAAGTATAGATTTTTTTCTGAAGCATTTAAAAGAAGAAATCATGACCTGTCAATGCCTGAATACTTCCACAGATGTTTCCTAAGAATAAGGATTAATACCCTTTCACTGAGTTTTTTGAAGCATCCAGCCCAGTTTTCTTGTGTCTCTCATTGTCAGATTTGTCTTTTTCCTCATGATTAGATTCAAGTTAAACATTTTTGGCAAGAATATGTCATAAGTGTTGTTGTATACTTTCTCTTGTTGGGGTCAGCAGACTTTCTCTAAAGGGACAGACACTAACTATTTTAGGCTTTGCAGGTGATACGGTCTCTGTCAGTGCTACTCAGCCCTACTGTCGTAGCAAGAAGGCAGCCAGAAACAACACATAAATGAATGACTGTGGCTGTGTGCCAATGAAACTACATGGGCACTGCAATTTGAATTTTATTATTTTTTTTTTTTGCGGTACGCGGGCCTCTCACTGTTGCGGCCTCTCCCGTTGCGGAGCACAGGCTCCAGACGCGCAGGCCCAGCGGCCATGGCTCATGGGCCCAGCCGCTCCGCGGCATGTGGGATCTTCCTGGACCGGGGCACGAACCCGCGTCCCCTGCATCGGCAGGCAGACTCTCAACCACTGCGCCACCAGGGGAGCCCAGTTTGACTTTTATTTAATTTTCGTGTGTCACAGAATATTATTCTTCCTTTGATGGTTGTTTTTCCCCTCAACAATTAAAAAAGTGAAAATCAGTCTTAGCTCATGGGCTGTACAAGAATAGGTGATGGGCTAGATTTGTCCCAGAGGCTGTAGTTTGCCAACCACTATTCTGTTGCATTATGTCAAAAGGCTCATAGTATCAGGCAGTCTTAGCCAAATCATTTGATCAAGACAGTGACCATCAGTTTTCTTCATTTGCAAAGATATATGTTTCCCTTTGTAATTAGAAAGTAATCCATGGGATCATAATTCGAGGCATGCGAAAATTCTTTTCCTCAGCAACCTTTCACACTGGATTTTGTTTTCCCGTCTACTGATGATTCTTAGCCTAAATCACTAATTATACTGGGAGTTGCAAAATGGTAGAATTAAGATTAGAAAATTTCAATTCTGTCATTCCTTCTACATTATTAGCTGGTTTTCTTCTGTGAAAAGAGCCACCCCCCCCCATTTTTTTGGATATTGTTATGCAGCCAGTGAACCTTTTAAAATTCAGTCTGCTTGTATGCAGTACCCAGAGTGACCCATATTTGGCTAATTGTATCCTTGAGGTAGGCTTATGTGTCCTTCTGACATGGCCCCATTAGTCTTTGAGCACTTCTGTGGCATAAGCTATCCAAGACACACTTGTATTTTCCTTACCCCATCCTGTTTTCTCTAAGGAGCCTTGGGTCCCTTCTGTAGGAAAGGATATTTAAAGACCATGATGTAGGAACTAGCCTTTAAAGCTCCTTTGTCTTCTCTGTATCTGTTCACTCTTCTTTTTATTTAGGTTTACAGTAAGTATATTATTGATCTTTTCAAAGAACCAGCTTTATCGACTTTTATATTTGTTTGTTGGTTTTCTGTTTTATTCATCTTTGATTTTATATTTATTCCTTTTTTTTCTTTTTTTTAATTGATTAATTTATTTGTTTTTACTTTTGGCTGTTTTGGGTCTTCATTGCTGTGCACAGGCTTTCTCTAGTCGGCGAGCCAGGGCTACTCTTCATAGCAGTGAATGGGCTTCCCATTGTCGTGGCTTCTCTTGCTGCAGAGCACAGGCTCTAGGCGCGCGAGCTTCAGTATTTGTGGCATGCAGACTCAGTAGTTGTGATGCATGGGCTTAGTTGCTCTGCAGCATGTGGAATCTTCCTGGGCCAGGGATCAAACCCATGTCCCCTGCATTGGCAGGAGGATTGTTAACCACTGCTCCACCAGGGAAGCTGTATTCCTTTTTTCTTTTGTTTCTTGTCATTTCTTTCAGGGCTCAAAGACCTATTTTTTAAGCTTTATTGAGGTACAATTTACATAACATAAAATACACCCATTTGGGGCTTCCCTGGTGGCACAGTGGTTAAGAATCTGCCTGCCAATGCAAGGGACACGGGTTCAAGCCCTGGCCCAGGAAGATCCCACATGCCGTGGAACAACTAATCCTGTGCACCACAACTACTGAGCCTGAGCTCTAGAGCCTGCAAAGCACAACTGCTGAGCCCACGTGCCACAACTACTGAAGCCTGCACGCTTAGAGCCCGTGCTGCACAAGAGAACCCAGGACGATGAGAAGCCCACGCACCGCAACGAAGAGTAGCCCCCGCTCACTGCAACTAGAGAAAGCCCACGCACAGCAACGAAGACCCAACACAGCCAAAAAAAAAGAAAAAAAAATACACCCATTTTAAGTGTGTAATTCATTGATTTTTTATAAGTTTACCCAGTTGTGCAACCATCATCATAATTCAGTTTTAGAACATTTTCATCACCTCATAAGATCCTTCATGCCTGTTTCTATAGATTTACCTTTCCTGATTTCATATAAATAGAATCATACAATATGTAATCTTTTGTGTATGGCTTCTTTCATTCAGCATAATTTTTGAGGTTTATCCATGTTATAGCACTTACAAGTATTTCATTCCTTTTTATTGTTAACTAGTATTCCATTGTATAGACATATCCATTGTTTAGCTGTTCACCAGTTGATGGACATTTGAGTTTTTACTTTTTGGCTATTATGAATAATGCTGTTGTGAACATTCACATGCATGTCTTTGTGTGGACATATGTTTTCATTTCTCTTGGGTAGATACCTACAAGTGGAATTTCTGGGTTATGTAATACATTTATCTCTCTCTCTCTCTCTCTTTCTCTCTTTCTCTCTCCTCTCTCTCTCCCTCTCCCTCTCTCCTTCACTCTCTCCCTCTCTCCCTCCCTCTCTCTCTGTCTCTCCCTCTCCCTCCCTCTCTCCCTCTCTCATACTCGGTCCAGGTTGGGGTACAGGTGTAGTAACAGGCCATTCCTAGAGTTATGACGAGTACAGGACTGGGAGGAGACTGGGATCACTGTGGGAACACAGAAGAAGGGCTCCCGACTCAGCCCGGTGGGGGCCTGGGGAGAAGCGGAGTCAGGGAGGTGAGAGCCAGGTGAACTGATGCGGGAGTAGCAGTTGTCCAGGCAAAAGGAGGGAAGGGCATTCCGGGCAGAGGGAACAGCTCAGGCAAAGGCCTGGCAGCAAGGAGAGTTGAAGAGAAGTCATCGTTGACCGCCCTCTTTCTCTGGCCCCACATCCAAGTCAGCTCCGTCGCCCGGGGCTGGTCCCCATCACTTCTCTCCTGGATGACTACCCCAGCCCCGTGGCCTCAGCAGCCAGAGAGGTTCCTTCAAAAATGTTAACTCAGATTATACTACACCCCTGTTTAAAACACTCCAGTGGTTTTCATCCCGCTTGGAATAAGATCCACAGCCCTCACCTGCAGGTTCTCTGTCCACCTCTGCTTCCTGCCCACTCACTGCTCTGCAGCCACCCTGGCTCCCTGCTGCTCCTCAGACGCACTGAACACGTTCCTACTGCAGAGACTTTGCACGTGCTGTGCCTTCCATATGGAACACCCCTTGCCTTCCGGTTCAGTCCATCACTTCATTTAGGTTTTGGCTTAGATGTCACTTCCTCAAGCAGACCCCCTGCCCACCCTTTGCCCCAGCAGTCCTGATCCCTTGCCCAGCTCTATTTATCTTCCCAGCATTTGTCCCTGGCTGATATGATACATCAGTTTGTCTGATTATCACCTGTATGCCCTGGTGGAGGGTAAACTATGAGGGCAGGCACATTGTGATGGGGAACGTAAAACGGTACAGCTGCTGTGGAAAAAATGTTGGGTGGTTCCTCAAAATGTTAAATATAGAACCACCATATGGCCCAACAATTCTGCAGCTAGGTGTATACCCAAAAGAATTGAAAATAGGGACTCTAGCAGATATTTGTCCAACAATGTTCATAGCAGCATTATTCACAATAGCCAAAAGAGTAAAACAAACCAGCGTCTGTCAACAGATAAATGGATAAACAAAATGTACTCTACATACAATGGACGATTATTCAGCCATAAAAAGGAATAAAGTTCTGACACTTGCTACAACATGGATGAACCTCGAAACATTATGTCAAATTCATAGTGACAGAAAGTAGAAAATAACTTACTACGGGCTGGGAGGAAGTAGAAATAGTGAGTTATTGCTTAAACGGCAGAGTTTTTGTTTGGGATGATGAAAAAGTTCTGGAAATGGAGACCGACGATGGCTGCACAGCATTATGAATGTACTTAATGATACCAAATTTTACACTTAAAAATGGTGAAGATGGAGGGGGCAGGAAAGGCCTTGGGGAAGCAGGCGCCTGTTTTCCTGGTGGAGAAAAGCTCTCCAGTAGCAATGAAAAGGCAGAGGGAAAGCTGCTCTCTATATATATATATATATATGTATGTATGTATATATATATATGTATGTATGTATGTGTATATATATATATATATATATATAATGTTTTCCTTTTTTCTTGGCCATGCCGTGTGGCATGTGGGATCATAGTTCCCTGATCAGGGATCGAACCTGCGCCCCCTGCAGTGGAAGCACGGAGTCTTAATCACTGGACCACTGGGGAAGTCCCATATGTTTATAATTTAAAGAAACTACCAAATTGTTCTCCAAAGTGGCTACATCATTTTACATATCCGTCAGCACTGTATGAGGGCTCCTGTTTATCCACATCCTGGCCAATGTTTGTTACTGTCTTTTTTTTTTTTAATATACCTATTCTAATAGCTGTGAAACAGTATCTCATAGAAGTTTTACTTTGCAATTCCTTAGTGACTGATGATAACCAAACATCTTTTCATGTGCTTATTTAGTTGTTCTGATATCTTTGATGAAATGTCTATTCAGATCTTTTGCCCGTTTTTTGATTGCGACTTAGAGAGTTTTAAGACTGCTTTGTATATCATGGGTACAAGTCCTTTATCATGTATGTTATTAGCAAGTATTTTTTTCAGTCTGTGGCTTGTTTCATTTTCTTAATGGTGTCTTGAAGCACAAAAGTTTTGATTTTTAATGAGATCCAGTTTATCAGTTTTTTTCTTATATAAATTATGTTTTTGTTATTGTGTCTAAGAAATCTTTAATCCAAAGTCTTGAAGATTTCCTACTGTGTTTCCTTTTAAAAGTTTTATAGTTTTATAGTTTTATAGTTTTAGCTCTTATATTTAGGTTTCTGATCCATCTAAGGACTTGTTTTTAAGTAGGATATGTTATACTTTTCAGATGTAAGTTATGACTCCTTTTTGGTTTATCTGTTCTAGGCAGGACAACAAGGAGATTTCAGTAGTAATATATGTCCTTTCAGCATTGCCCTCTTCCTCTCTGTAACAAGAATACAAAGATTTGAGGAACAGGTATTTATGAATGACTTTTTGGTTCCTTCTGTAGTTGATAAAGTGTACAATAGTCTTTTTTTATTATTATTATCTTTTCCTAAACAATTCCACTCGCACCCTGCCAGCAGCATATTCCCCTATAAGAATGTAGGCCCACACTGTTCTCTGTGGGCTGCTTGAAGACTTCTTCAGATACTTGGTTTATACCTCCACTTCCTATTGTGTGGTAAGCCAGGTGGTGAGATGGGAATAAGAGTGGAAACATCACACAGTCCAAGTAGCAAGAATGGGAAGTTTAGCTGGGTATTCATTGCAGTTGTATTATGTTGTAGCTTTCTAAGAAACTGTCCCTGATCAACTTGAAATTATTGAGAATCTGTTATTTGAAAGAATGAAAATATTAAAATCCTTTACCCTTTTTTCTCATATGTGTTTCTCTGGTTGTGGGTAATATTGATTTTTAGCTCTTCTTCTCTCAAGGAAGACCTGTCTTCAGCTCTTTTAAGTTCCCACTGTAAGTCATAATTTTTGTATCATACTCATCAGTGAAACAGTTGTCATAGGGATATGAGTGTATGGCAGCAAGTAGGAACAGTTACAGGGTTAAGATTCTATAGTATGGGCTATCTTTTTTGCTTCATTTTCCTATTTCTTTCATTATATTAGGTATTTGACCTTTTAAAGTCTTTGGTTATAAAAAGCTTTAAGGATCTTCAGCTTCTCCAAGGCTCAAAATTTCTTCAGAATCTAGTTCCTCATAGATGTTGTGTTTCAACCATGATCTTGGAAGTGGTAAAGAATAGGTAAGTTCATGAACTATAAGGTTCATAGGGTATTTAGTGTTAAGATCAGAAGATCCTTGAATCCCAAGGGCTGAGTTCTTGGCCACCTTGATAGCAAGGATACAAAACTGAAGTAGGTACCTTTGCTCCTTTCATGCTATTTCCTTTAATGCTATTACTACTCTGTTGGCCTGAGTCTTCATTGGCTTTTTAGGTGAGTAGAAAACCAAGTTTTATTTACTTTAACTGTTGGAGTTTGGGACTGATGGATGGAATTGAATTAGCAGTTTTAGACAATTAAATTAGCAGTTTTAGGCAAATCCATTTTAAATCAAATTGAAGAAACTGGTAACCATCCTGGTTGTTACTTTCATGTTTAATGTTGTATTTCAGAATATACGTTAGCCGTTATAACAGTCTTTACTGTGTCATGCTTTGTCTGTGGTTTGTCTCCATGGTTTGCTATATTTAGCTCTATTGACATACTTTGTGTTTACCTGCAGATACTTAGACATGCAGAACATTAATGTACTAGGAAAAAAAAATCACCTATGAACCAATACAACTTCCAGGTTATACTTACCAACCCCTGTTTACCAATCATGTATGAGCTCTTTCATGTTACAGATAAATATTTTGTAGCAAACTGACTACAACTGTCTCCTCCCTCCAAGATGGGAACTTTAGCCCACAGCACACATTTCTCCACTTCATTCTTGTTAAGATTATTAACAGACTATACTTATTTAGACTTCATAATTTTACTGGTTTCTTTGTTTACATCTATCTTTTGAACCTCATACTTTTCACTTGGAAATATGCCATAAGTATATATTTTTTGCAGTAATCCTTTCTGATATGGTTTGTGGATAGTAAACTTTTCATATCTGAAAATGTCTTTGTTTGGCTCTTCCACTTGAACGGTAATAGTTGGACGAGGTTTAAAATTCTGAGTTTGTAATCAGTTTTACATTGTCTTTGCATCTAGAATTGTTGATGAAAAGTCTGATGGTTATCTGATTCTTGTATTATTTTAGATAATCTGTTATTTTTCTTCATGGGAACTTTTAAGACTTTATTTTTATCCTTGATCTTCTGAAATTTAACACAATTTATGTTTATGTAAGTTCTTTTTTAATTCATTTCTGCTTGGTAATTGGTGTGCCCTCTCACTGTAAGGAGTCATGTCTTTCCTAAACTCTGTAATGATTTTCTTCTTCTATTTTCTTTGACTACTGTCTCCCCTTTTTCTCTCTGTTGTCTCTTACTAACTGTTGGAATTTCTTGATCTGTGTGCTGTATCTCTTAATTTTTCTTTCACGTTTTTCATATTTTTGTCTTTTTGTGTCAAGTTGAACAAAAATTCCTTAGCTCACTCTTCTCAATAATTATTTCTTCAGCTCTGCCCATTTTATTCTTAGGTCCATTTATTGAGTTTTTCACTCTATCCATCATGTTTTTTATTTCCAAAATTTTTAATTGGTTCTATTTTCATAACAGTTCATTTTTTGTTTCATGCTATAATATTCTTTCTTATTTCTCTGAGGATATTCATTAGACTTTTAAAATCTTCTCTTTGTTCCATTAACCTTTTCCCTTAGCGATTAGTTCTCTTCATTGAGTTTGGTGCTTCTCTTTCGTGGTGATATTGTTTTCTTGTATTTGGTGGTTATTGCTTATCTCCTTATTATCGTTTTTGATATTCCCCATCAGTTTGTCTGAGAGTGCTGTATCTTTTAACACCTTCTGCCTCTGTGACTTGAGGGTAGTGGTAGGCTGTACCAAGGGCTAATCTTCTAGGTGTGGCATTGCCCTAATCCTCGAGCATGTTGTCATCCTCTCAGAGTGCTGCTCTGCCTCATATGTTTTTGTTTTTGTTTTTTTTGTGGTATGCGGGCCTCTCACTGTTGTGGCCTCTCCCGTTGCGGAGCACAGGCTTCGGACGCGCAGGCTCAGCGGCCATGGCTCACGGGCCCAGCTGCTCTGGGCATGTGGGATCTTCCCGGACCGGGGCACGAGCCCGCGTCCCCTGCATCAGCAGACGGACTCTTAACCACTGCGCCACCAGGGAAGCCCCTCATATGTTTTTTAATGTTCTGTAGTTTTTGGATTTTCTCGGTGTTCTGTCGGTAGAGATTGCTTGCCTACCATTCCCATTACTGTTCATTAAGAAATTCAGAATTTATGTGGAGTGTTGGTTATCCAGGTCAAGTTTGGGAAGTATGTAACATGGCAGAGAATATAGAGGTAAGGTATTTTACTAAGTTTTTCTTCTTAACTAAACTTTGTTTTCTTGCAGTGTTCACAGTTGGGATCATGTTACTCAGGGCCTGGTAGAACTTGGCTTCATTTTAATGGATTCCTATGGGCCAAAGAAGATTCTTGATGGAAAGACTATTGAAGCCAGCTCTGGTCTTTCTAGAATGCCAAACCAGCATGCATGTAAGCTGGGAGCTAATATCCTGTTGGAAACTTTCAAGGTGAGACTCTAGTTTAGTAACCATTCCCTAATAAATAGGGCATTAACTTGGGAGTTTGGGGGACAGGGCAATTTGAGTATGTAGCAGTTTCCCAGAACAGAGATTGGGATAGTAATTGAAACATTATAGACCCATTTGATGGAATACTTACTTTCTCACTTTTTATTTATATGAGATTTTCATTTATTCTAATTTCTGTTCTTCCTGACCATTTCTTAGAAGTTTGAGTATAAGTTAACTTCCTCATGATTTCCTCTTCTTCCTCTAGCAGTAAATCATTTCTGGGTTTTTAAAATTCCCTTATACAAAAAATAATCTTTTAGGTTGCTGTAGAACATCAAGCTTGAAGAATCATGCTTATTGGTTCATTGTTTTTGAAGAACCAAATTGGGGAATTTACACTCTTTTAATTCATTACCATATTATGACTATCATCTCAATCTTAATTTCTGAAGTAGCTTTCAAAAATTCATTTCAAGTTAAAAAAAGATCATATCTGAGACTAAACAAATTTGCTTTGCTAGTGATTTCTCTAAGACATCATCTTTACATTCAATTGTTCACTGTATCTACACATCAAAAGTATCTGCTGAAAATGTTATTTGGAGGCCAATTTAAATGTAAATCTGATGTTCTGATCCAGAACTATGAAATGAATGCCATATAATAGTCCTTGAGAATTGTGTATTAGATACATATGACTCTCCTTAACCATAATCTGATTAAAAACATTCTTAGAATAAGAAAATGGTTTTTGTTTTTAAATTAATCTTTTTTAAAACTAAGAAGGTTCCACTTCATTTCGCACAGATGTTGGCTTTGTCAAGCTATCTATAGAACATATAATTTACTGATAATCAGATGATTAGTCCAGGGTCTGAAAGTAATTAGTCTGTATCCCAAAGTTATCAAGTTCAGATATGAAGTTTAACTAAAATTCAAGTAAAAATTCAAAACAGGTCATTTTTTTTTTTTTTTTTTTTTTTTTTTCTTGCGTTATGCGGGCCTCTCACTGTTGTGGCCTCTCCCATTTGCGGAGCACAGGCTCCGGATGCGCAGGCTCAGCGGCCATGGCTCACGGGCCCAGCCGCTCCGCGGCATGTGGGATCTTCCCGAAACGGGGCACGACCCCGCGTCTCCTGCATCGGCAGGCGGACTCTCAAGCACTGCGCCACCAGGGAAGCCCAAAACAGGTCATTTTTTAGGCAGTTGCTGTGCTTGTAGAAACTGAGAAGGGCTTGGTGAAGATTTTCTAGGTTTTCAGAAATTTTTGTGGGCTTTTAAATTTTAAAATAAAAGTTGTGCATACTGTCAGGAATATGGACGTTGACATGTAATAGATACCTAGGTAGAATTATTCCTGTTTGATGCTGGACCTTATATGTAGCAGTACTTTCATATGATCTCTCTTTTAGGCTAATAAAAGTTTCCCCTGCTAATGAATTGTCTGAGCACAGAAAGAGGGTAGAATTGAGTGATTCTTTCCAGATGATTCACATTATATTTGTCTTTGAAATAAACAGTCCGGTTTTACCCATATTCAAACTGTTCTTTAATCTCCCTAACATGCGTTGATATAATTGTAAGCTGAAGGTCACCAAGGAATATTTTATTGGTTCTTCCCTTCTTTTTAGATCCATGAGATGATCAGACAAGAAATTCTGGAGCAGGTCCTCAACAGGGTTGTTACCAGAGGATCCTCCCCCATCACTCATTTCATAGGTATTGAACTTTGGAAGGGTGGTTAAAGTTGTCAGGAACATTTTTATTTAAATGTCATAATGCTTTTGGTCCTGGAAAAAAAAATGTAATGATACGGTAGATTGACATCTTTAATGACATCTTTGATTATTATGCCAGTAAAACATAAATGCATTTATATTGTCTATGGTTGTCAAGAAGGAAAAGAGCATATAACTAATGAGTGAAACTTCTGTCTTGCATCAACTTTCTCTCTTTTTTGTTTGAATACTTCTCAGGTGAGTGCTGTCCTTCTGCTGTCACTCATTGACCTCCCGTTCTCTTAACCCTTGACATTCGTTTTTTGTTTTTTGGGGTTTTTTTGGCGGTACGCGGGCCTCTCACTGCTGTGGTCTCTCCCGTTGCGGAGCACAGGCTCTGGATGTGCAGGCTCAGCGGCCATGGCTCATGGGCCCAGCCGCTCCACGGCACGTGGGATCTTCCCGGACCGGGGCACGAACCCATGTCCCCTGCAACGGCAGGCGGACTCTCAACCACTGCGCCATCAGGGAAGCCCTAACCCTTGACATTCTGACTTCAGTACTGGTCTCTTTGGTGACCTCTGAGTGTTGCTCTTTTAATACATATATCCTAATGTCTAAATCCACTGGTCTTATCTTAATCACCAACTTTCTTAATTTCTCTACCATTCTACACTGTTTACAACTCCCCTGAAATTGATAACTGTAATAATTTGCATCTTATCCTCTCAACCAGCGCCATCAGGGAAGCCCTAACCCTTGACATTCTGACTTCAGTACTGGTCTCTTTGGTGACCTCTGAGTGTTGCTCTTTTAATACATATATCCTAATGTCTAAATCCACTGGTCTTATCTTAATCACCAACTTTCTTAATTTCTCTACCATTCTACACTGTTTACAACTCCCCTGAAATTGATAACTGTAATAATTTGCATCTTATCCTGCCTGTGATCAGTTTTTTTTTCTTCTTTAGTGATTCCTTTTCTTTCTTCTATCCTTAAATGTCAGGGTTCTCCAAAGTTCTGTACTTGACACTTCATTCTACTTTTTTTCTTTCTTTACAGCTTTATTGAAGTATAATTGAGGTACAACAATGTCTACATATTTAAAGTATAACAGTTTGATAACTTTTGACATACGTATACACTGGCGAAACAGAAAGTATCACCACAGTCAAGATGAACATATCTGTCACCCACAGATGTTTCCTGGTGCCTCTTTGTAATTTGTTCCTGCATCCCTCTCTTCCTTCCCATCTCTCATCTGTAGTCTGGTCTGCTTTCTGTCACTATAAATTTAAAAAATTTTATATAAATGGAATCCTACAGTGTGCACTCCTTTTTTTTTCCTTTCTTTTTGGTCTGGCTTCTTTCACTCAGCATAATTCTTTTGAGATTTTTCTGTAGTTGTCACATGTATCAATAATTGATTTCCTTTTTATTGTTAGTAGTATTCCCTAATATGGATATAACCACAATTTATTTATCCATTCACCTGTGTGCAGGTTTTTAGGTTGCTTCTAGTTTTGGGCTATCACGAATAAAGCTGCTATGAACACTAATGTATAAGTCTTTCTGAGGATGTATGCTTTCATTTCTGTATGGAAACATGTTATAGTGGAATGGGTACACCATATGGTAGGTGTAGGCTTTATAGTTTAAGAAACTGCCAAGACTATTTTCCACAGTCGTACCATTTTACATTCCTATAAGCAGTGTTTCTAGTTGCTCCACATTGTGACCAACTCTTGGTATGATCAATCTTTTTAATTTACTCATTCTAATAGCTATGTAATAGCACCTGATTGTGTTTTTGTTTGCATTTCCTCAATGCCTAATGATATATTGAACATTTGCCATGCTTATTTGTCATTTCTGTATTTTCTTTGGTTAAATGTCTGTTCAGGTCTTTTGTCCATTATTAAAAAATTGAGTTGTTTCCCTTTTTATTACTGAGTTGTAAGAGTTATTTATGTATTCTAAATGCAAGTCCTTTGTCAGATATATGTTTTGCAGATATTTTCTCCTGGTCTGTGGTTTGACTTTTAATATTTGTAACAGTGTCATTTGAAGAACCACCATTTTAAATTTATCAGTTACCAGTTCATCAGTTTCTTTGTATAGTTCCTGTTTTTTGTCATGTATTAAAAAAAATCTTTGCCAAACCCAAGGTCACTAAGATTTTCTCCTATATTTTCTACTAGAAGCTTTATAGTTTCAGCTCTTAGATCTGTGATCCATTTTTGTTAAATTTTGTATAGGGTGTGACATAACAGGGTTCATCTTTTTGCTTAAGGCTATCCAGTTGTTCCAACACAATTTTTTGAAAAGATTATCTTTTCTTCATTGAGATACCATGACATCTTTATTGAAATCAACTAACCATACATGTGTGGGTCTATTTTAGGAATCTTTTCTATTCCATTGAGCTATGTGTGTGTTATGTCTTGATTGCTATAGCATCATAATGTGTCTTAAAAGCAGTAGTGTAAGTCTTTTAACTTTTGTCTATTCTAGGTCCTTTGCATTTCCAAATAAATATTCTAATCAGTTTGTCAATTTTTATAAAAGGTCTCAAGTTTTGATGGAGATTGCCTCAAATGTATGGATTAATTGGGGAGAGAATTGGCATCTTAGCAATATTGAGTCTTCTAACCCACGGACACAATGTATCTGTCCATTTATTTAGGTCTTCAATTTCTTTCAGCAATGTTTTGTAGTTTTCAGTGCGTGGATCTTGCATATCTTTTGTCAGTTGATCCCTATTTCATTTTTTGACACTGTTGTAAATAGTATTTTTTAAATTGTCAATTTCTGATTGTTGATTGCTGTTGTGTAGAAATAGTTGCTTTTTTAATATTGACCTTATATCCTGCAATCATGCTAAACCCACTTATTAGTTCTAGTCACTTTTTGGCAATTCCTTAGGATTTTCTACATAGAAATCACGTCATCTCCAAATCTAGACGTTCTTGGTATCAGTGATATGTCTTTTTTCTTTTTTTCTTTATCAGTCTGGCTTAGAAGCTTGCCAGTTTTACTAATCTTTGAAAGAATGAGATTTTAGTTTGAATTTTCTCTGTTTTTTTTTTTTTGTTTTCAATTTCACCAAATTCTGCTTTTTATTATTTCCTTCCTTTTGCTTGCTTTGGGTTCATTTTGCTCTTTTAAGTGATTGAAAAGCATCAAAAGAAGAATATATCATGATACATGAAAATCTTAGACTTCAGATTTCATAAAATATAGTATTATTGGAATACAGACATGCTCAATCATTTATGTGTTGTCTGTCTTGCTTTTATACTTTACCAGCGGAGTTGAGTTGGTATATATATATATGCATACACCAACTCATGATATATATATATCTCACATGACCCATTAAGCCTAAAATAGTTATTGTCTGGCCCTTTACAGAAAAAGTATGCGAACTTCTGGTCTGTTATATTTACCTAGATATTGTTATTGCTATTTTTTCCTTCCTGATGATTGAAGTTTCCTTTTGTTTGTGTGAAGGGTTTTAACTACAAAATCCATTCTTTTAATAGAAGTAGGGCTAGTCACGTTATCTAAATCTTCTGGGTGAACTTTGGTAGGTTGTGTCTTTCAAGGAATTTGACCATTTCATCTTAAGTTATCAAATTTATTGTCATGAAGTTGTTCCGAATATTCCATTTAATGTCTGTAGGATCTATATTGATTTGCCCTTTCTTACTCCTGAAAGCCATAATTTTCATCTTTTCTCTTTTTCCTGATTAGTCTAGCAAGAGGTTTATCAATTTTATTGATTTTTCTCCAAGAACCAGCTTTTGGTTTCATTGAGTTTCTCTGTTGTTTTTCTGTTTTCAGTTTTATTGATATGTGCTCTTTTTTTTTTTTTTTTTTTTCCGGTATGGGGGCCTCTCACTGCTGTGGCCTCTCCCGTTGCGGAGCACAGGCTCCGGACGCGCAGGCTCAGCGGCCATGGCTCACGGGCCCAGCCACTCCGCGGCATGCGGGATCCTTCCGGACCGGGGCACAAACCCATGTCCCCTGCATCGGCAGGCGGACTCTCAACCACTGCGCCACCAGGGAAGCCCTGATATGTGCTCTTTTTTGTTTTGTTTCTACTGCTATTTCGGGTCAGTCTGTGCTTCTTTAGATTAAAAGCTTATGTCATTAATTTGAGACCTTTCTCTTTTTTTTCAATACAAGCATTAAACTATAAATTTCCTTCTAAACGTTGCTTTAGCTGCATCCCATAAATTTTGTTTTTTATTTTCATTCCGTTCCAAATACTTTTAATTTCTTTTGTGATTTGTTCTTTAACGCGTGGGTTATTCAGAAGTGTGTTGTTTAGTTTTCAAGTATTTGTAGATTTTCCAGGTTTTCTGTTATTGATTTCTAATTTGTGGTTATAAAACATACTTTGTATGATGCGAATTTTTAAAAATTTATTGAGGGGCTCCCCTGGTGGCGCAGTGGTTGAGAGTCCACCTGCCGATGCAGGGGACATGGGTTTGTGCCCTGGTGTGGGAGGATCCCACATGCCGCGGAGCGGCTGGGCCCGTGAGCCATGGCCACTGAACCTGTGCATCCGGAGCCTGTGCTCCACAGCGGGAGAGGCCGCAACAGTGAGAGGCCCACGTACCGCAAAAAAAAAAAAAAAAAAAAATTTATTGAGACTTGTTTTATTCTCAGAATATGGTCCATTTTGATAAATGTTCTCCACGCTATTGAAAATAATATGTATTCTGTTATTAGGTAGTTTTCTATAAATCACTGAATTCAGATTATTCAAGTCTCCTGTGTCCTTACTGATATTCTATCTACTTATTCTGTTAACTATTAAGAGAGGGGTGTTGAAGTCTCTGACTTTGTATTTATAGAAATGACTGTCTGTGCCTTTCAGTTCTATCAGTTTTTGCTTCAGGAATTTTAAAACTCTATTATAGGGCATAAACATTAAGGATTGTTATGTCCTCTTGGTTAATGGATCCATTAATTGTTATGAAATGACCTTTTTGTTCCTGGCAATATTATTTACTCTGAAGTCTACTTTGATATTAATATAATCTCTGCAGCTTTCTTTTTATCAGTATTAACATGGTATAGTTTTTCCATCTTTTTAGATTTAACTTATTTATGTCTTTATGTAGTTAACTTGGGTTTTATTATAGACAGCATACAATTGTGTTTTACTTTTTCTTATCCAATTTGACAGTCTCTGACTTTTAATCTGGGCAGGCCATCTACATTTAATGTGATTAACATCTGGCTATTTGTTTTCTACTTTGTCTGTTTTTGTTCCCTTTTTTCTCTTCTCCCTTCTCCTTTTTTTTATTTTTTTGTGGTACATGGTCCTCTCACTGCTGTGGCCTCTCCTGTTGCGGAGCACAGGCTCTGGACGCGCAGGCCCAGCGGCCATGGCCCACGGGCCTAGCCACTCCACGGTATGTGGGATCTTTGCAGACCAGGGCACGAACCCGTGTCCCCTGCATCCGCAGGTGGACTCTCAACCACTGCACCACCAGGGAAGCCTCCTCCCTTCTCTTGAATTGAAATTTTTTGGTTTTTAATGATTCCGTTTTATCTTGCTAATTTGATTAGTTATATCTCTTGTTTTATTTTCTTTTGGGTTGCTTTAGGGTTTATGATACACATCTTTAACTTATTATAGTCTACCTTCAAGTAGTAGCATACCTCTTTACATATAGTATAAGAGCATTACAACAGTATACTTCCAGTTTTTACTCCTACTCCAGTAGCTTCTGCGCATTCTCATGCATTTTACTTCTTGTCAGTATATTGAATTATATCTATGTTGTTGTTAATTTAGCTTGTTTTTATTTTTTATTTTTTTTATCTTTGGCTGTGTTGAGTCTTCATTGCTGTGCACAGGCTTTCTCTAGTTGTGGCGAGTGGGGGCTACTCTTTGTTTTGGTGCTCGGGCTTCTCATTGCGGTGGCTTCTCTTGTTGCAGAGGGTGGGCTCTAGGGCGTGCGGGCTTCAGTTGTTGTGGCACACGGGCTCAGTAGTTATGGCTCACAGGCTCTAGAGCATAGGCTCTGTAGTTGTGGTACATGGGCTTTGTTGCTCCGCGGCATGGGGGATCTTCCCGGACCAGGGCTCAAACCCATGTACCCCGCATTGGCAGGCAGATTCTTAACCACTGTGCCACCAGGGAAGCCCTAATTCAGGTTTAAACATTTATCTTTTTAAGAATTTTTTAATAAGTCTTTTAATTTTTACCCATGTGTTTACCATTTCTGGTGCTTTTTCCTTTGTGTAAATCCAGATTTCTATCTAGTATCACTTTCTTTCTGTCTGAAGGACTGCCTTTAATTTTCTTATACTGCTCATCTGCTGACAATGAATTCTTTTGTGTATCAAAAAAAGTCTTCATTTCATGTTACTTCTTAAAAGACATTTTCATTGGGTATGGAATTCTAGATTGACTTTTTCTTTTAGTGCTTTAAAGATATTGCTCTACTTTGAGTTTTGGCTTTCATCATTTCCAGTGAAAAGTCTGCTTTCATTCTCTTTTTTTTCTCTTTATAATGTCTTTTTTCTTTTTAGATTTCTTCTTTATCAGTGGTTTTAAGCAATTTAATTATGATGTGCTTTAGTGTTGTTTCCTTAATGTTTCTTGTGATTGAGGTTTGTTAAGCTGCTTGGATCTGTAAGATTATGGTTTTCATCAAGTTTGAAAATTCTTCAGGTATTGTCTCATCAAAAAATTTTTTCTGTCATCATCTTCCTCACTGGTGCACGCACATGCACGCGCGCGCGCACACACACACACACACACACGGTCTTCTGCGACTCCAGTTACACATATGTTAAGTGGCTGTAAGTTGTTACACAGCTCACAGATATCCTTTCTTTAGTCTTTTTTTTTTTTTTTTTTTTTTTTTTTTTTTTTTTTGTGGTACGCGGGCCTCTCACTGTCGTGGCCTCTCCCGTTGCAGAGCACAGGCTCCAGACGCGCATGCTCAGCGGCCATGGCTCACAGGCCCAGCTGTTCCGCGGCATGTGGAATCTTCCTGGACCGGGGCACGAACCCGTGTCCCCTGCATCGGCAGGTGGACTCTCAACCACTGCGCCACCAGGGAAGCCCTCTGTAGTCTTTTTTACTTTGTGTTTCATTTTAGATAGTTTTTATTGCTGTAAATTCAGATTCCCAAATCTTCTGCAGTGATCTTATCCATTAAAATTTTCATTTTTAGATGTTTGATTTATGTCTTCCATATCTTCCCTGTCTTTTTTTTAAACATGCTTCCCTGACCTATTTTTTTTTTTGCTGTACCACATCTTCTTGCAGGATCTTAGTTCCCCAACCAGGGATCAAACCTGGGCCCCTGGCAGTGAGAGCACCAAGTCCTAACCACTGGACCACCAGGGAATTCCCTTCCCTTACCTTCTTGAACATATATTTTTTTTAGTTGTTTTAATGTCCTTGTCCACTAACTCTATCATTGTGTAATTTCTGATCTGTTTTTATTGATTTATTTCCTCTTCGTCATGAGTTGTGTTTTCCTGCTTCTTTGCATGATGAATAATTTTGATTGGATGGCAGACACTGAACTTCGCATTGTTAATTTGCTGGATTTTTTTTTTCCTTCGAATATTATTGAGCTTTAAGTTTCTTGGAAAGCATTTAATCCTTTTTATGATTATTTTTATGTTGTGTTATATAAGACCAGACAACCTTTAATCTAGGGCCAACTTGGTGCTACAATTAAAGCAATGCTCCTTGTATATTATGAGGTGTCTCCACTGTGGATGTTGTGAATATAAACTATTCCTGTCCTTTATGACCTCTGAGAATGGATTTGCCTACTGCTTACCTGTGATTTTTTCCCTGACTTCAGGTTGTTTTTTCATACAGATGCACTGACTAGCATGCAGCTAACATATAAGGGAAGCTACCTGCACATCTCCAGGGCTCTCTTTCCATGCAGCTCTTTCCTTTCTGGTACTCTGCCCTATGAATTCTAGCTGCCTTAGCGTTCCTGAATTGTCAACTCTTGTCTCTAACTCAGGAAGACTGCTGGATTCTGAGTTTCCCCTCTCTGTGCTACTGACTAGAAACCCTCCAGGCAGTAAGATGGGGCAATTATTATAAGCCTCTCCTCATTTATTTCCCTTCTCTCAGGGATCATTGTCTGTACTGCTTCTTGTCTGGTGTCTGAAAATTGTTGTTTCATGTAATTTGGCTTATTTTCTTGTAGATGTTTAAAGTGGGAAGATAAATCTGGTTACTCTTACTCCATCCTGGTGGGCAGTGTCTGTCCCTCTTTTTATACATTATCTTACTTACAGATATCATACACCCCTTCTCATGATTTCATTTATTTTGGTGGGGTCTTTTGTGGGCATGGCTCCCAAATCTTTATGTCAGGACTCTCCTCTTTCCTTAGTTCAGTGCTTCAGTGACTTCATTCCTGCTGGGTATTTCCCTTTAGTATTTCTTTTTC